CAGAGGGGTCCATGTGCCCGTCCTTTCCCTAGTAGTGCTGTAAACCTCCTCCTCTCACCTCTCCCCCTTCCACCACCACCCCCACCTGCCATATCTGAAGCCCCCTCCCCCTTTTCTAGTTTCCTTCAGCCTCTAGCCCCATGGTCCTAGCCAGCTTGCCAAAGCTCAGCCAGCTTGGCACTGACAAGGAGCTGATGGATCGTCTTGTCACCTGCCAACTGCACATGTCACTGAATCTTTGCTTATTCCCGGGGCACGTTGGGGCAAACCTCTGCAGATAAGGCTGGAGCAAGTTCCAAGAAGCCCCTGCCTTCTCCAGAGAGAGGCATGTCCCTACTTAGCAGAATCAGATTAACCCCGGTTTGTCCCCTGGAGGCCTGCAGGCTGGGGAGGGGCTGAGCCAAGAGGCTCTGCACGTGTTGTGGGGAGGAGAGAGCGAGTGCCACACATACCCCACCCCCACCCCGCCTGCCCCTCACAAGCAGGTGGAAGGCACCAGAGCTGGTGGACCAAAGCAGCACTCTCTCACAGAAGAAGGCTAGGCCAGAGAGGGCAGTGGCACACTCAGGAAAACCCTTGCCTCTGCCACTGGCTCAGGAACCCCACTTCCCAGAGATATTGGCAGCTGTGGGTAGTGCCACTTGGATATTGGTGAGCCTGAGTCCAAAGCCAGAGTGTGGAGCAAGACTGATGAGCTAGGGAGGCCGGAGGAGGGGGTCTTGGCCCAAGGCTGCATCACAGAATGGCAACAGACAGCACTCTGGAATCCCTCAGGTCTAAGTTCAAAACCTGCCTTGAACAATGACATATGTAAGACTTTATAGATAGGTTACTTGTTAAGGCCCAGTGTCCTTAAAGCACAGGGTACTCACTCTCAGTGCATGCTCTCTCTCTCTCTCTCTCTCTCTCTCTCTCTCTCTCTCTCTCTCTCTCTCTCGCTATCTCTCTCTGGAAGCTCTGAGATCTAAGGGAGGTATGATTGTGGACTGCAAACACTCTGGAAAGGTTCTGTCCTTGAACTTAAACTTTAACATTTTCTTATGGTTAGCAGCAACCATTGACCACAGCCAGATCCAACTGGTCAATCAGATGGGTGTGTGTGTGTGTGTATGTGTGTGTGTGTGTGTGTGTGTGTGTGTGTGTGTGTGTGTGTGTGCGCGTGCGCGCGCACGCGCGTGCGCACACCAGTCCTGAGGCTTAAACTCTGGGCCTTAGCACTGTCCCTGAACTCTTTTTGCTCAAGACTAGCACTCTGCCACTTGAGCCACAGCTCCACTTCTGGCTTTTTGGTAGGTAATCGAAGGTAAGAGTCTCAGGGACTTTCCTGCCTGGCCCAGCTTTGAACCTTAATCCTTAGGTATCAACCTCTTAAGTAACTAGGATTACAGGAGTGAGCCACCAGCTTCCAGCTATCTTATTTTTGCTGTAATCGCAGAATCCCCTACTCCCATCACAAACTTCATGGCTTACAAAGGACTTTTTCATCTACCATCCTCTCAAATCCTATGACACAAAAGGTAATCCTGTCCACATTTCCAAAGGAATAAAGTAGGAACTCCAAGAGGCAAAGCTGTTACTGCAAGATGGTGTAGCTACACCAGGGCACTGTCAGGACTCTTGAGAGAAAAAAAATTAGTCTTTTCTGTCAAACAAAAGTGTATTTGGTATTGTGTACTGATACTGCCTGGAATTATTTGCTTCGTTTACTTCAACTGTAGCTATCATCTGTCCTGCTTGTTACCAGCTAGCCATATTAGGAAGATAAATCCTGTGTTGAACAAGTTACAAGGGATGTTAGTGGGAGCTTTCCATTGACCCCCATCAGCTTCCTCCAGCCATCCCGACTCCTAGCCAGCCATGCTGGCCCCCTTTCTAATCTCGGTAGTCTATTATATTTAGACTCTGAGCCTAACTCCTTGACAGGAGGAGGAAGAGTTTGGATTGACATTAAAAAAAAAACTAGCAAACTGTCCTGCACGGTGTCTACCTGGCTTTAGATAGAATAACAGTATTTCACCCTTTTGTACAAAAGTAAATTGCCTTGATGAAATCTCGTGTTATCTCTTGTGTGTCTATTCATTTCTGACACCAGACAGCCATGCATTTCTAATACTCTGACACCCCCCTCCACACACACACACACACACACACACTCAAGCAGGACACAAGAAAGGGAGTTCTTCCTTCCAAATTCCTGCTGGACTCTGAGCTGGGCTATAGGGAAAACCATACACCCAGGTAGGTAAGATGGGCTCTTCCTTGCCTCGCTTCCCAGCAGCCAGGCGGCGTCCAAGTGCCGAGCACAGTGTAGCATTGTCTCATGGGTGGAAGGATATTGTCTTTCCCTCTGAAAGAATAATAATCAGACCTAAATCAGCCAGAGCTCATTAAAGCCTCTGCAGACATGGCGGCCCCAGCAATTAACACAGCTGAACAATCACTCGTCCATTACTCCAGGGTGAAGGAGGGCTGGATCCAGGCCAGATTCCCTCCTGCATGCTTACTCTCCTCCAGAAACCCTCACGGTAGCTTTCTCTCCACTCCCTGGTCCAGTCCAAGAGCAGCACCTACCCGTTATTGGCTGTCCTGGCCACAAATATAAAATTCCTTGACTGTAGCCTGGACCCTCCTGTGAGCTCCAGGTTTGGGATGGCTTTACAAGGACTGAACTCTGGCTCCAGTGTGTCTGCCAGTTTCCGTCCTTAACCCACTGTAGCCAGACAAACATCTTTGGCATTTCTGGCATGGGGCTGGCCTTCCTTCAGATGGGGCCCTTGAAGCCCAGTGGAAAGAGCCTGGATGAATTCCATCTCTGGTTATGACTCACCCTTGTGATGCCAGATTCCTGATTGTCAATTGAACCAATAAGATTGACCCCAGCCCCAGGGCTACACTTGTGTAAGACAGTCCCCACAAATGTTAGATCCCATTCACACCTCCCCTGTCCCCCAAAGAGGTGGCAAGGACAGGGAACATCAGTGTAAGCCCCTAGAGATTCAACTGCAAGTCCCTTCTTTCCCCTTGACCAGGTGTACAGCTTCAGGAAATGATGCCTCCTCTCTCTGAGCCTCAGTCTATCAATTAGAAAAATGGAAGTAACTCCAGTCCAGCCTGATAGAGAGATATAGTAAGATAACTGAGCAGTAATGCGTGACACTAGGAGCAGCCATGGTGGCTAACGTCTACTCTCCACCTACCCCGTTTTCTACCCAGAAACAGTTCCAGGCTAAAACAGAAAAGTATCCCCACCCTTCACACACAAAGAAAGGCCTGGGACACAGTTACCTGCCACACCTGGGGGGGGGGGCAGACCCCACCCTCAGCCACATTTTAGGACCCCCTGCAGCAGAGGAAGGGTTTCAGCTGTGGCAATAAAGGCTGTCATGAGCAGGGACAGAACCTCTGAGCAATCTGAACCTGGGAGTGAAGTCTGGTGTCTGCCACCAGCTCCCAAATCTTCCTGGGAAGCCAGGGAAGGGCCAAGAAAAAGCCCGGCTCTGAGATCACAGAGAAGGGATTTGGAGCAAGGTAAGGAATCTCTGAGTCCTACAGGAAGAAGCAGGAAATCACATCTCCTTCAGGATCTGGACACAGGGAAGCCCCCGTTCAATGGTATTCCAGACCTCAGCAAGGAACGGCATACCATTACCCACTCCAGCACGGCTCCAACAGGCTTAGCCTGAGCCCTCAGCCAGCAAAGGTCCCTGCTTTATGAGCCTCCTTTACCTTGAATTGACCTCAGTTCTTAGTGGCTGAGATGTAAATCTCAGAGGCAAGACTAACTATAAACCACAAGGGCAGGACTGTACCCACCCAGGGGCAGATTTGTACCAGGAAGCTGAGACTTTGTCCCTTTGCTGGCCCAGGGCAGCCCAGAACAAGCCAGGTTGGGGGAGTCGGTATGGGAGGTCTGGGTCACAGCTGGGTCCCATTCCAGGCTCTGGGCCCAGGTATGGGCTAGTGGGTGTAAAAGGCTTTTATTTTTCAGGACCACCTAGGAGTAGATAAAGGTGTTAATGCATGCCCCAAGACATACACCAACAAGGACATGCTCTCCAGTTTTGAGTTACAGAGAATGACACTAAAGCCTGGGTTTGGTTAAGGTGGAGAAATCTGTCAGGAGACCCCTGTCAGGAGATGCCTGGAGTGAGCCTTCCACCGGAGGAAGGCTTGCACAAATGTCAATTGACAATGTGGGCTATGCATCAGGAAACTTAAGATTCTTATTCTGGCTATGTGGCCCTAGACAAGTACTGAACCTCTCTGAATCCATTTCCTAATCTATAAAAAGCAGCCCAAGCTGGGTACTGGTGGCTTATGTCTGCAATCCTAGCCACTCAGGAGGCTGAGATCTGAGTATCACCGTTCAAAGCCAGCCCAGGCAGGAAAGTCCATGAGACTCTTATCTCCAATAAACCTCTTGGAAAACTGGAAGTGGCACTGTGGCTCAAGTGGTCGAGTGCCACCTTGAGCTGAAGAGCTCAGCGACAGCACCCAGGCCCAGAGTTCAAGCCCCACGACCAACAACAACAAAGAAAAAAGCAGCTCCTCATACTACCTTTCAACTATTTCCATTAAATGGCACAGAGAAGATATTCAATATATGGTCTGCACACACACACACACACACACACACACACACACACACAACCTGTGAGCAAGGGCATGCAAAGGAAAGAAAACTCTATCTAGGAAGTTTCACATCCTACTTTGCCATGAGCAGTTACATAGGCAAGGCCCCCTCTCTCACCGCTTGAAGCCTTAGTTTGACCTCTCTGCGAAATGGGAACATTGCTTATTTCACAGAGTATTGAACCTGTAAAAACCAGGTTAGATAAAGGAAGACCTGGTACAAATCAAAGTTACTATAGCTTCTGTGTGTGAGATGCTCTCCCTTCTCTCTCCTGAGACAAGATGAAGTCAGGTCCCAATAAAACCTAAACAGGGCCTAGGCCTGACCCATGTCTCCATGGTCTAAAATAACAAACCAAACAAGTTCCTCCCTTGGACCACAAAGGTTTATTTGGCAGGTCAGGGGATGAGTCGGGGCTAGGGGTCCCCGAGAACTCTCCCTGCAGGAGGATAGATGCTCAGGAATCTGCCCACTCAGAAACCCTTGGAGCCAGGCACGTTGTTGTAGTGGATGTCCTGGCCCTCCAGCAGATTGCGGTAGGTGGCAATCTCCTGCTCCAGCCGAGACTTGATGTCCATGAGCTGCTGGTACTCTTGATTCTGCCTCTCGGTGTCAGCACGCAGGTCACTCAGCTGAGCTTCAATGCTGCTGATCTTCCCCTGAATCTGTGCCAGCTGGTCCCCGTAACGGGCCTCTGTCTCTGCCAGCGTGCCTTCCAGGGCTGCTTTCTAAGGGGAGAGAGAAAAGGGGCATGATTTGGCAGAGACTGGTTCCCAAAGAGAACCAGGACACATAGCCACCAATCAGGATGCCCAAGGCTGCAAGGGTACAAGCGTGCAGCCCTTGAAGTTGAACATACCATGCTGAGCCAGGACTGCAACTCTATCTCAAGACCCTGAAGGGTGCGTCGCAGGTCTGTGACCTCAGATGTGTGCGCCTGGAGCTGCTCGGTGTGGCCAGCAACCTCCCGGTTCAGCTCCTCGGTCTATGACAAAAGCATAGGAAGAGAAAAGGCACTGGGGCCAGGCATCTGGCAGAGCAGGGGAAAGCAACAAGCCCTCTCTCCTTGCCATTCCCCAAAAGGGCTTCGGGGTCCCTTGCATACCTGACTGATGAACTGGGTTTCAGCATCCTTCCGGTACTTCTCAGCCATGACCTCATACTGGCTTCTCATGTCACTCAGGATCTTGGCTAGGTCCGTGCCCGGAGTGGAATCCACCTCCACACTGACCTGGCCACCCACTTGGCTCCTCAAGGCACTAATTTCCTGGAAAGACACAGAAGAGGTAGACATGCCAGGGCCCAGGGCCTGCTGGACCTGCCCCAGGTGACTTCCACCTCCCTCAGAGTCATAGGTGCTGGTTTGTGCGTGCAGGTCTAGGAGCCAGCACTGAGAAGTGGACTGGGTGGTCACTATCCTCTACCTGGCTCCTGGGAGCCATTAAGGCCACCCAGGGCCAAGTATGGCCATGGCAGAAGGCCTAGCTTGACCCACCTCCTCGTGGTTTTTCTTCAGGTAGGCCAGCTCCTCCTTTAGGCCTTCAATCTGCATCTCCAGGTCAGTCCTGGCCAGTGTCAGCTCATCTAGAACCTTGCGCAGCCCGTTGATGTCAGTCTCCACGCTCATGCGCAGGGCCTGTTCAGTCTCAAACCTTTTGGAGAAAATAGGAGTTAGGCCAGAGCTGGCTCGGTACTTCTAATGATACCCCACTTCCTCAGGATTCAGGAGTCTATGGGAGACTTGCTTCAGGCCTGCTGGGAGTGGGTGAGGGCAGGGTCTAGTCCCCCATAAAGGCCTGAGGCTCCCCACACACACAGCACCCTGGTGCCCTGGCTTCCACAGTCCCCAAAGCAGACACTTACTTAGTTCGGAAGTCATCTGCAGCCAGACGGGCATTGTCGACCTGCAGGACAATCCTGGAGTTCTCAATGGTGGCACCATGAATCTAGAAGGGAGAGGGTAAGGAGGTTGGCACCACGAGGGCATAGGAGCACTGTCCGCTCACTTTCTTCCCAGGAGATGGAGAAGAAATGAATGCACTCCCTCTCCCTAGCACCTGCTCCTTGGCCTGCTCTCTGGAAGCCCTTAGTATCAGCCCATGCCCATGAACTGGAGCGGGAGGGCATGCTGTGGAGGAAGCTGACAGACAGGCAAGCCTGAGGGAAAGGGGGCTGGGGGAGGGGTATCAGAGTTGCAATCATGTCATCCAGCTAGTCACTCATGAGGGTACTTGGGCTCAACATATTTCAAAAGAGCAAGTCTCAAATGATTAGTCACTGTGTCACTGGATAGTAATTTGCACATTTTTAATGAAACAAGGAGAATATAAAACTCAGACAGAGGTTACCCTCAATAGGGTAAAAACTGTTTCAAGAAACTTTGTCAGGGGCTGGGAAGGTGGCTCAGTGGTAGTGTTTGCCTCGCATGCATGAGGCCCTGGGTTCGATTCCTCAGCACCACATAAGCAGAAAATGCTGGAAGTGGGCTATGGCTCAAGTAGTAGAGCACTCGCCTTGAGCTGAAGAGCTGAGAGACAGTGCCCAGGACCAGAGTTCAGGCCCCACGACCGACCAAAAAAAAAAAAGAACTTTGTCAGCCAGGGCACTGGTGGCTCATGCTTATAATCTTAGCTACTCAACAGGCTGAGATCTGAGGATCTTGGTTCAAAGCTAGCCTAGACAGACAAATCTGGGAGATTCTTAATTTCAGTTAACCAGCAAAACTCCAGAAGTAGGTGTGGCTCAAGTGGTAGAGCACCAGCCTTGAGTGAATAAGCCAAGCACAGTATGAGACCCTGAGTTCCAGACTCAGTATTGGCACACAGGAAAGAAAGAAAGAAAGAAGAGAAAGAGGGAGAGAGGGAGAGAGAGGGAGGGAGGGAGAGAGAGAGGAAGGGAGGGAGGGAGGGAGGGAAGGAAGGAGGGAGGGAGGGAGGGAGAGAGAGAGGAAGGGAGGGAGGGAGGGAGGGAGGGAAGGAAGGAAGGGAAAATTGTGTGTGTGTGTGTGTGTGTGTGTGTAAGGAAGGTCAGAGAACAGGAGAAAGAAAGGTGTGTGACACACGATATTGTCACTATAGGTCACAACTTAAGAATTGCAAAATGCCCAATTCTAGCTGATTACAGACATCACAAGCTCTCCATGGTCTGTGGGTAGGAATCTATAAGCCCACCTCCCCAGGACTCAGGAATCTATGGGGGCTTGCTGCAGGCCTGCTGCGGGTGGGGGAAACCCAGGGTGCATTCCTTTTGTTTCTGATATATTTCTTGATGGGAGAAGTCTTTCCTGCTCCACCCCAGCCTCCTAGGGCTTAAATCTTGTGTGGCTCAGACCCCAAGAAGCTGCTCCAGTACCTGGTTCTCCGTGGCAGAGGTTCACTAAAGCAAACACAGGAGCCCCTGCCTATGTCCCCCCTTTCCCTGACCCTGGAGTCAGCCCTAGCTCTCCCTCTCTTTCTAGAACTCCTCTTAAGCCTGTGTAGCCCCTGGACAGAAAAGGAGAGAAAGCCAGAGCCTGATAAAAACTAGACCTGCCCAGCCAAAGAACAGGGGGAAGGAGGGGGAAGGAGGGGGAAGGAGGGGGGAGGAGGGGGAACCAGGGCTCCCACAAAGGTCACTGCAGGGGCAGATCTGGCCCTGGGTGGACCATTAAGCTCTGCCCTCCCTCCCCCTCTCCCACACACACACCTACCCACCCACCAGGCCAAACAGTTGCAGCTCCGACTGAGGTTGAGCCCCAATCCACACCTCCAGAGCTGTGCATTATCTCCTCCCACTCTGCAAACCCACCTTTCTCCCAGTGCTCCAGCCCAGCCCTGCAGCCTGCACTCCCTCCCAGCTGCTTCTCCAGGCCCTGCCCACTTACCTGCTCCACCCCTTCCCCTCCCCTCCCCTCCCCTCCCGGTCTCCGGCTTCTCTTCTGGCCTGCGGGCACTCCCAAGCCCTAAGAGGCCACTAGCGGTCTTGTACCCCAACCTCATCTAGTCCCTCCAGGCTGGTGCACTGTCCCTGGCACCCAGCCAGCACCTACCTTGTCCCGGAGGTCCTCGATCGTCTTGAAGTAGTGGCTGTAGTCTCGGGAGGGCCCGGGCCCCTGCTTCTGGTACCAGTCCCGGATCTTCACCTCCAGCTCGGTGTTGGCCTGCTCCAGGGCGCGCACTTTGTCCAGATACGAAGCCAGGCGGTCGTTGAGGTTCTGCATGGTGATCTTCTCATTGCCGGCCAACAGCCCATCGGACACAGCCAGGGAGCCACCATAGCCCCCACCATAACCCCCGGAGACTGATGACACCAAGCGAGCGGAGGACACAGACACCCCTCGGCCGCCTGAGCCCCCGTGGATGCTGGGCGCACGAAAGGCACCCCCGGTCCCAAAGCGCAGCGAGCCGCCGCCCAAGCCCCCGTAGGACGAGGTGGCTGAGGACTGTCGGTAGCTGTAGGTGGTCATGGCAAGGCGGGTGAGGACCGGAGGACACTGGCCTGAGAGTCGATCGAGGTCGGCTGCGGGAGTGGGGAGATCCTCCTCACCTGGGGCCTTTTATGCCCGAGACAGGTGGGGCTGCAGGACAAGGTCAGGGGTGGATATTTGAGCCCAGATGAGTTTACTGCACTCTCCCCATTGGTCAGTTCCTGGTAGCTCTGCCCTCAACTGTCCCCTCCCAGGAACCACAGGCCCCTGCCTTCCCCCAGAGCCACCCCAGCCCAGCCCACTTGGGAAGCTGGCCCCCATTCTGACTCTCCACCACCACCAGCCTCCTACCCCCAATCTCCACGCTGACCCTTGCCCTTTAAAGAGAAACACTCCAGGAATCACAGTTCCTTGAGATTATACAGGTCCCCACTTGGGATCAAAACTAGACCTTTCCCCAAATATTTGTACTAGATTCCCACACACCCTCAGGACCCACCTCCCTCCCCCACCCCACCCCCAACTTCCCTTGTGAACCTTATAACAAAGGCAGTTTTCTGGGCCGTGGCCATACAATGCCCCAAGTCACCATAGACACCTGGAAGCAGTCTCTGGGAGCAGTTCCAGCAGCTGCCCTGGCCACAGCACACTCCCATGCTGAGAAACCATCTTGACCTACCACCACCTCCCCACCCCCATCCCCCAGGACAGCCCTATCCCTAACAGCCCCAAGAGCTCTATTTGTTTATTCCACTACTTCAATGTTCCCAAGATGAGGAGCCCAAGCAGGAAAACAGGCAGGGAATCTGCACGTAAGGCATTTAATACCTGCTACCCACAGACAGAAATGGGATGGAACCTTGAATTCTGATAATGTCTAGGTAGAGAGGTTACAGCTTACTCCTTCTCCTTCTCCTCCAACAAGAAGGAGGGGGCTGGAGAGACAGACGGCAAACTGAACCAATGAGCTGGTTCCAGCAACACACTAGTGCCTGGACACAAAGTGAGTTTCAGTAGTACAGGAAGGAGCTCCTCCTTCCACACATAGCAGCAGCCAGTCCCTGTGTTCATCCTGTGTGACGCTTTGGCTACTTTTCTTGCCTGGCCAAATGCTCTATACCAGCATCAAGCAAGCTCCCAGTCCTTGACCTCTCCTGAAATTGAAATTATCCCTATGATTCCCTCTTATCATTACATCAGAGCAGTTCCTCAGTCTCAAGACAGAACCCCTGTGCTCCTGAGAGGGCATTAGGGAGATGGGACAATCACTCCTTGTTTCCAGGCCTGTTTCCCCCTGTGAAAGGAGAGATATTCCAGCTCAGTCTTCCTCTGTGAATAAATGAAGAATAGTCCTTGGCCTCCGAAACTCTCCTTGGCCCCAGAAAACTGTCTTCTAGTCACCATTTTCTCCTGGAAGGAGAGCAGGAAACCACTTACATTCAAGCCCCAACCTTAACCCACCCAGAAGCAACCCTCAGCCATCCCAAGAGGACACAGAGTTGGTCTGGGGAGCTCCAGGCCCCTTGTGAAAACAGGGTGTGGCTGGGCCTTCAACAAAGGTTGTAGCCTCCAGGGTTGGTCTGCAGTGAGTCACTCCTTATCTGGCCCAAAGGAAAAGCCTACTCCCTGAGGAGGGGTGAAGGGGGAGGTGGGAAGCCTGGAGGAATGGCCAGATGGTTGCTATATACTGAGCACCACTGATTTTCTGGACTGATAGGGCAGATCTGGAAAGTGACTTTGTAGGAAGAAACAAAGAATCACATCTGCTTCAAAGATTAAGGGGATTAAGGGGTCCTGAGTTCCCCCAGGCCCTTTTCAGATCTCCAGAAGCCTCCCTACAACCAGGTGGAAAAGGTGCTTTATCTTCATTTACAGATGGGGAAACAGCACTGGCTGTAACTTGCCACAAAGGGCCACAGCCAGTACCATCAGATTTAGGCTTTCAGCCTCCTGACCCTGACTCTCATGGCCTGAGGTTCTGAATAAGACAGAGGCTCTGAAGAAATCTTCAGCCCCCAACTCCACCCCAAACAAATCTTTAGGGTCCTTCTCCTCTCAAATTCTTGTGCCACTTCCAGGAGAATTCCTCCCCAGATTGGACTACAGAATTGTCCTGGAAAAAAAAAAAACAGCTCTCACACTTTCCCTCTTCCCCCCCCCCCCACCTTCTCTCTCGGCCTAGCTAGGCACTATGTGGCTCTTGGCACCTTCTCTGGCATATCAGTAGCTCAGGAGGACAAACTGCACAATCTGGCAGCTCTTATCTTCCCACAGAGATGGAACTGAAAGTTCCAGCTCTGCTCTCATTCAGTAACCAGACTGCCCGCCACGGAGCATCTCTGGACCTCCTCTTGGCTTCAAGAGGGCAGAAAGCAGTGGCAGGAGCTCCCTTCCAAAGCCCAGGTCTCCAGGCCTGGGGACTGGGCTGCATCGGAGGGACACACAGGGTAGGCCTCAGGAATCAGAGGATCTGATCTAGACCAAGGATGTGCCCAAAGCCACCTAGCTCCCAGCTAGGTACAGTTAGTGAAGAGAGAAGGAGCAGACTATTCTTTCCTACAGTCCAGTCTGGGGCTGAATGCTAGATTCTACCAGAGCCTAGCACCATGCAATTCCAGAGAAAGAAATCCTTAGCTGGGGACTGGCAGCTCATGCCTATAGTCCTTGCTACTCTGGAGGCTTGCTACCAGAGGATCGTGGTTCAAAGCCAGTCTGAGTGGACATATCTGTAAGACTCTTAACTCCAAAAAGCCAGAAGTAGAGCTGTGGCTCAAGTGGTAGAGCCTTGAGCCAAAAAACTAAGGGACAGCACCCAGGCCCTAAGTTCAAGCCCAATACTGGCACCAAAAACAAAGAAAGAAAGAAAACCTTGTCCTATAAAGGCAGACACTGCTTCCTGCAACTTCCTTTCTAGGTTTCACAATGCACAGGGCTGGAGGCCATGAAGTCATCCATCTCCCATGAGGACTGCTTCATAGAACTGTGTCTAAGAATAAAATGAGATGGTACTTGTAAAAGGATTGGTTAGAGTGCAGGGCAAATAGTTGTCCTCAAGCAACATTATTATTATGTTACATAATGTTATGGGTGTTAAATAGTACGCGGTTATTACCATTAGGATTACAAGAATTCTCATTTCACTTTAAGTAGCATTTCCCTCAATGTATGAGATCATAGAATTTTCTATCCGGTAAGAACTCTTACTGGTCCCATGCTAGTTACTCACACCTGTAATCCTAGCTACTCGGGAGGCTGAGATCTGAGAATGGTAGTTCAAAAGCAGCACCCACCCAGCAGAAAAATTCCATGAGACTCTTCCAAGGTATGGTTGAGTTGGCAGGCTTTAGTGAAAGAGCCAAGCAAGAACTCCAAACCTGAGTTCAAGTCCCAGGACTGGCAACAAATAAATAACAAGGGATTTCCTGCTGAAAGAATGGTAGTCATGTGGACAACTTCATGAACTTACTTGTCATTTGTGAGAAGAACCTTCACCTGGATGCCAGGGGCCATCAGCAGGAAGTCCTTAGGGGCCTTTCCATGCTTTCCTCTGTTCACTGACTGTGTTCCAAGCTCCTTCACCCATGCCAGGTGTGTTGCTAGGTGCTGAGATGCAAAAACAAATACAAGAACTTCCTGTCTCTCAGAGACTGACCGACTATCTATAGGGGATTACAGAGACACACCAGCTTTTGGCAAAGTGGAGCAGACTCCGTGGCCATCTTAACACTCACTCCTTCCTATCTATAACCCTGCTAAGGTGACAGCTAAGGAGTATCTAAAGAGAATAAAAGATTAGAAGACCAGAAAGGTCATCACCTAGCAGGAGGGAGTCAGACGATTGAACAAGAGCCTAAGGACAGGTAAACCATGAGAAGCACACAAATTCCCAGCCTACCCACCCCCAGTGAAGCTCAGAATTTGGGGAAGCACCAAGTACCTTAAGAGGAGAAGGCAAAATGAGAAGGGTGGCTGGAAGTTTCTGGAAACAGCCACCTCCCAGCTAAGGCAGCAAGATGCCCTCGAAGACAGCAGATTTACATGTCTCCAGTAACTGCTAACACCGCAGGCAATGAACCCACTCCAGCCCAGGACACTGAGTTGAAGCAGGTACTTTGGAAATTTCCAAGTGTCTTCATTTTTTACTCTAATTTTATTGTAATTATTATGATTAAGATGTTGTCACAGAGTGGTAACCATTTCATAAGTCCGGTAACAAGTATATTTCTTTTTGGACAATTTCCTCCTTCCTTCGCCTTCCCCGCCTCCTATCCCTGCCCACAAAGTTGCATAGTCCATTTTCCACATACAGTCTATTGGGTACCATGACTGCGTTGGGTTCTCCCTTCCTCCCTCCATTTCTGTGCCACCACCCCCCTTGCTGTACCCCACACAACAAAAGGCAACAACAACAAACAAACACTGCAAATAACACCTCCACTACTACCAACAACAACAACAAATGTTCAAGCCTCTTCATTTTTAGAAGTTCACACAGCCACCAGACCTACTCCTCTTTATTTATGGCCCAGAACTCCTAGCAATGTATTCGGGAAAGCATGGGAAAGGATACTCTTTAAAATATAGTTTGCAGTAGTGGAAAGACAGAAGCAATCACTGGTTGAGGGATGGTTAAATAAGCTATATAACCTTCTTGCTAGGGAAAAAAAAAAATATCAGACAGTGAGTAATGTCAACAGAGGATGTGGAAAACCCTCAGAACCAGTTATTGGGGACAATAAAAGCAGCAGAAGACCAAGGCACATAGATGGTAGGTTTAGATTGGTAAATGGTTAGAAGATGACTCATTTGAAACGGTAGATTTTAATCTGGATGTCAGAGAAGCTGATGGAAAGGTCATCTTCAAAGGGAACCTAAGCTTGATTTGTGTGTCTTCCTTGTTTATACTCCCAAGGCTAGGATTACAGGTGTGCCCACCAAGACTGACCTGATTTTTATATTTCTGTTTGTTGTTTGTTTTATGTTTTGTTTTGGTGTTGCATTCAGGTTGCACTTGCTAGGCTGGTGATCTACTGTTGAGATGAGTTTCTGCCACTTCTTTTTTTACATTGGTTATTTTGAAATAGTTCCCCCCTCTCTCTTTAGCCAGGCC